GATTACTCTATTTTGCTGGATGTTTGTTGGGAGAGTCATTTTATAAACTAAGTTTGGTTATTTGATATGGATTCTTTGGTTACTTCCTTGCATTGTTCTTGCAGGATATTCAATTGATTACATACGATGCAGATGTGAAGCAGACGGTCGAGATAGTGAGCTGCTGGGAGACTGTGCGGCAGTCCTTGCCACAATTTGCAGAATCTGAGTTGCCCACCTTCGAGAAGACCGGTGAACCATGGATCATTGTCCTATCTGCAGCGGACTTTGTACCACACACTCTCACATCAATGAATCATTTTTCACCAGTCTGGCAGTCAGCACACCTGAGAAAGGACACATACCAAAAGCTTGCTGCTGCCACTTCTTGCCACATTTCCTCTCTTCGACAATTGTTGAAGAGGGCTGAGGAGTCTCTAGACTCCCACAAAGGATTCGGGAAGGGCATGATCGAGAGCGTCGAGAGTCAGTTGCACATAGCCGAGAATTTCCAGAAACTCCAGGGGTGGTTGTTTGCCAGTGGCTATGTAGTGACAGATGTCCCAGCAGATGGAGATTGTGCTTGTTGGTCATTGCTTTCTCTCATGCGCAAAGATCCTTTCATCAGTTTCCGTGACAAAGCGTGCAAAGAGGCTTGCCAGCAGATTCGGGAAGATCTTGTTCAGCTGTGGAAGTCAGTGTCCAAAAAACCACAATGGCAGCGCTTCTACGAAGAGCTTTCCTTTGACCCGGAGCAGCCAGAGGTGCCTCAGACTAGAGAAGAAGAACAGAACCTGAGTCACAGTCAGACATCAGTGAAGTCAGAAATGCTCAAAACTCCATCCAAGAGGAGGCCACAGCCAACAATACACATTGACTTGCTTACACCAGAAAAGGCTCCCGAGGCACATCACAGGCTGGAGGTGGTGTGCAATCAGAAAGGAGCTATAGATCTAAAGAAGAAGAAGAGAAGCGAAATTGACATCCCATCTGCTTCACAGAAGCGTGCCAAGTTGCCTGCAGCTGAGGCAGCTGAGGGTGATGGTCAGGTCATGCCTCCCAAAAAAGAGAAGGAAGACGCAAAAGTGAACAGTTCAAGACAAGCATTTCAGACAAAAATGGAGAACGAGTTTCCTTTGGATGAAGGCAGACAGAGCAAGAGGACAGACATCAAAAAGAAACCAAAAGACGAGAGAAACGAAGAAGATAAAGCCAAAGGTGAAGAGACAGCAGAGGCAGAGGGCAAACAGAAAAAGAAACGACAAAGAACATGCAAGAGCAAAGTGAAGACTGCAGAGGAACGAAAGCTTGCTGCAGTAAAAGCATATCTCGCTTCCAAGGGAATCACGTGGCCTTTCTGCCAAAAGTATCATCGGCGGCTCGGCTTACCAGGTGCTCATGAGTGCAAGTCATTGACAAACCTACATGCATCACTCATGAAGCTGGAGGAGCCTTCCTGCACAACCTGTTTGGCCATGCTCAAGGCCCACTCAGCTTCTTTGGAGGAGTTGAAGATGTCTTTGGAGGAAGCAGTAGACAAAGAAAAGTATCCAGATTCCCCTGGAATCTCGCAGCTGCGGAAGGTGAGCGCTGCCACTTTTCTGGATGACATTGAAGTTGAGAAATCGACCCCTGTGCCAATTGAACCAGACCAGAGCAGAGCATTGGATCCACTAGACCCGCAGAACCTGCAGATGGTGCTTTTCGTAGACCCCGCAGAAGGATTTGAGAAAGACATGCAGGAGCTGAGAATCGGACTTCTTTATATTATATTTTTTATAAAGAGAGTGTTTTGTGATGGATTCCATGGAAAGGCTCGAAATCATATATGTTCATCATTTCATAAAAATGCCGGGGGGGGTTTATGCATTGGATCTACCAGGAGTTGAACGTGAAAGATGAGGAGGAGAACCTTGAGGAGAACATGGAGGCTGAGGAAGATCCTTTTGTCACAGTCAATCGGTGTCCATACCTGGAGCTTTTGCCGCCAAACACGTGTGACCGTCGCTTTCCCATTCGCTGTCTCTTGTGCAAGTCCCACGCGCAACCATTGGGCAGGGTCTTCGAAGGAAGTGCCCCTCGCAAGAAAGTGGTAGACAATTTCGTACGACAACACCTCAAGGCAGTCACGCACATAGCTGCAGCTGCCAGAGCAGCAGCAGCTCTGTCTGAACATCCACCAATTCAGCAGGGTCAGCATGATGTTCAAAACATGTCTGCGTGTCAGGGCTTGTCACTGACACATGGTGAATCGTCGCTCTCTGGGGCCTTTGCCAATGAGTTCTTGCTCTGGGCCAGGTTCACCAAGCTCGCAAAAAGCTTTACGAAGCACAGCTATGTTTATAGCATTGCTGAACAGGAGGTGAAGGTTCACCACGAGGAATGTGAAAAGGTCACTGGTGAGACTGATGGTCAAGGAAGATTCATTTGCACCATGTGTCAAAAGAACCAGTTGGTCCAAGCATCCCTCAAGAGCGCAATCCGTTTTGCTTTGAAACACTGGGCTGCCCGGATTTTGCAGGCTAGGCTCTTCAAATCTGATGAAGCCAGGGAAGAGATTCAGCAAGAGTTTCGCAAGACAGCCCTTTACCGGTACAACCAAAAGCGAGGGGACGAGATTCTCAAGCAGACTGACGCTCAACTCCAGAAGTGGGTTCGACAAGCATGGCTCAAGGTTTCCAAGGACTGCTTCACTGATGAGTTGCTTGGAGCAGTTTAGTTTATGAAATGCTAGCACTGCATTCTGTATCAACAACATAGAGCAGGGTTTGGAATATGTCATTTCATAAAAATGGTGGACAAGGTTACACAGATCAAAAATTCATCAGTGATTTGTTTGGAGCGCTTTATGAAATGCCATCACGGCATGTTGTATCAAGAACATCTTGCAGTGTTTTAGATATATCATTCCATAAATATCTCGTGTTCTGTGCCAATACCACAATCTGTAAGCAGAGCAGTACCTGTCCTTTTCAACATCCACACTGCTCGTAAAACTGAGATTGCAAGCTTTCGTCCAGTCGATCGTGAAGCCAACGTTGCTGGTCAATGTCGAGGAGTGCCAGGGTGAGCTCCGTCAATTGGCCCACTTCTATACATCCCAATTGGCATCAGGAGAGCTTTCAGAAATTAGCCAGGTCCACTGCCGCATTGTCAAAGCTGTCAGCTCGGGCCGTTTGATGGGGCACCCAGCTGCGCTGGGCATTCTGCTGAAATGTATCGGCATGCAAGAGAAGCAAGAGAAAGGCATAGAGAATCATCGAATGAGAAAAATGACGGACGTGGAGGCAGGTGTCATCAACGAGGCAGCAGTCCTCTTGGCTTGCAACGGGGCAAGTGCAGATCTCATGAAAACCCTTGGATTTTCCAAGAGCATGATCTTGAGAACATACTCCAGATTGGACACCTTGCTGGAGCAAGGACTGCCCAATCCAGCATTGGCACTCCTGTTTCCCGAGGTCACAGAACAGAATGTGACTTTGATTGACAGTGCAACAAGTCGGGCTCCAAACTTCACGTCACGACGCAGATTCGTTCTCTGCTTTGATTCCACCTATTTGCAGCCTTTGCATTGTGCTTGCAAACTGCATGGAAAGCGTGGGATGGTCGGGGGACCATTCCAGATGAGTGACATTGGCAGCCTTTCCCCTGGAAGCTTCCAAAAGGTGGATTTGGAGAGAGGGAGTGGGATGCACGAGAAGACCAAAGCCAACAGAATGTTACCCGGTCAGTCAATTAATTTATCTATAACTATTGAACTCATTGTTGTCTCAGCCGTTTTTGGCCTACTGACATGTTTGTTTGTAGCTGGAGGATGCTGGGGATTTGTTTATAGAATGGGTTGACCCCAGTAGGATGCCTTTCTTTTTGCCAAATATGTATGGGGAAGGCATTGTATAAATCAAGCTTGGTATTTCTTCTTTGAGTTTCCACAGAAACATAATGCAAAAGAATCTCAACATTCTCTCATTGGAAAGCGTGTATTTTTTAATACAGTGGGTTGACCCCAGCACACGGCCTCTGTCTTTGCTGAAAGTGGATGGGAGAGGCAATTCATAAAGTTTTAAAGCCCTCCAAGAGAACTTTCAAGCTGATTTAAGGATGGAATTCCTACTCTGGGATCCAAGCAGCAGCTCAGTGAAGCCGCGGAGTGTATTGTCTCTACCTTTGTCCCTCAAATGGTTGAACAGTGCAGAGTCTGGGAGCTCATGGGATGCTTTGATTGTTTGGTAAGTTTTGCTTTTGGGATCTTTTGGGAGTCTTTATGTTTCCTCTATGATCCTCTATGTAGATTTGTGGTCAATTTAGACCCGGTTTGCAACTTTTGATACATTTGGCTTTGACACTGTGTGGCTGGATCAGGAGATTGTGCGCATGATGGATGAGTTGCTCCATCGTTGCCAAGACTACGTCCGAGTTTTCCTCTTCGATGGCGAGGCTTGCAACCAACTCTTGAAGAGCATCATTTTTGGCCAGCTGGATGCGCATCATCGACGTAGCGTCATGGACTTGAAGTTCTTCTCGAAGTTGACCTTTGGTGAGTGCCCAGGTCTTTCAGTGCTGCCCAGATGCCCAATCAAATCCTGTTTCTTCGACCAGGATCAGATTTTTGCAATGCAGGGACCATCCCATGCATTAAAGAACACAGCAGCGCAGATTTGTGCAGAGGGCAAAGTGGTGTTCTTCGGGAAATTCATGACAGACTGCTCAGGCATGCTGGCCAATGATTTGCCGCTCCCTGCGTTCAACAGAAAGGATGGCATGAGCGATCGCCTGACCGCACTCCTTTCATCACCCATGTATCTCATTCCAAATGAGGTCACTCTGCTATACTCTGCTGGCTTTCAATGATTAGGTTTAAATTTGTTCGTTTTTTGTTGGTCTTGTGATGTCCTGTGTCCCTTCATGTTCTTTGCATTTCTTTGCATGGTGTCTTCCGCCATCTGCGAGGTTCTCGGAGTGGCAGAGATTGATGATGTTTGCATCCCCTGGCACCTCAAGGGAGTTCTGCTATGGAATGTGACCACCGCCCTGAGTGTGGTTTCTCAATTTTGTTGAGTCTATTTGATTCTTTTTTGATCTATTTTGAATTATTTTGATCAAATTTTTGGATGTGATTTGGGACATTTAGATGCTTGTGCAATATGATTGGAGACTTTCAAAGGGGACAACCTTTTATAAAATGAGTTCACTGGGTAGACAATACCTATAATTTCATGAAATCTAGTGTTTTGTCATTTTATAAACACCCATCCAGGCACCAAGCGTGCATGGAAGCATGTCACTCTCGCAGAGAGTGGAGAATGCGCTTTCAGGATTTCTGCTGTGGGACCTTTGGTCTCTGGTGGGAAGACAAAGAGAGATTGAGCAGAAAGTTGGAAGAGGCCGGATGCAGATCGCTCCCGTCACCAGGAAGAACCTTCAGAGCATCGCCTTAACTACATCCCTGATATGTGCTGGAAAGCCAGAGGCCTGGGACGTATTCAGACAGCCCCATGGATTGAATGAAATCCACATCGAACGCTTCTTCGGGCAGCTTCGTGGACAATACGCTTCCAGCGAAATGTCTGCAAGGGCATACCGGAACGCGGGCGCACGTCTAGTGCGGAAGCTGGAAAAGGCCAAGAGCGCAAAACATTCCAGCCAGCGACATCCTCTGGTGGAGGCCCCGTTGTCAACAACAGAGACATTTGGACAAGATTGATTAGTTGTTGTTTTTTTTTTAATGTTTTTTGTTTTCAATAGTGTTTATATAATATATATATATATATGTTTATTTGAGTTTTGGATAGTTTTGGTAGGTATATAGGAATAATATGAAATAATTGATGATGTTCCAGATGATTCCAGATGTAGGTATTTATGAAATGATGTATATAGATCTTTCATTTAAATATCATTTCTTTTGTATGTGAAAGGCATTTTATAAACATGAGAGGCACTTTATAGAAATATTAAAAGACACGTGTTCACCCTGTATGCATGCATCAATTTTATTTCCTTTGGGATCCTTTGCAATCCTTTGGGTGTATTTCTTGCAAATAAGGATGAAGGCATGTGCCAAAAAGGCTTTGGCAGCAGCGTTGCTTCTGGTCAGCAAATGCTCCGGAATTGAGACACAAGATTTGGAAGCCCTGTATCGGAAGGAGTCGGTGGGTGACTTTTTCACCTACGAGGAGGAAACCGGAGAGGTTGATCTCCTTGAGCATGCTTACATGGAGGTTGAATGCGAGGAGGCCATGAAGGCAGAGCACAATGAGTTCCAGCATGTCTTGACCCAGATTGAGTCAGTGGCCCAGGAAGAGTATGCTGATGATGAGAACAGCGATGGAGATGGAGAAGCCCCACAGCCTGTGGATCCTGACAGATTGCTTCCAGATGGTGAGGGTTTGATCAATCTGACAACCTGTGCAGATTCGCCTTCAGATGATGCCCCGCTGCCTTACCCCAAGACCTTGGAGGAGGAGGGGTTTTATGAAATGCCGAATCAGAGTGAAACTGTTGATGTATTTTTTGGGGGTAGCTGAAAGGTCATTTCATAAACATACCTGTCGGCACAGTGCTGTAGTTTTTGTACAGGCGATCTCGCAGAGCAACTTCTGGTGTGGACTCTGGAAGTTGAGCGTGCACCTCCGGTGTGGGAATCACGGCTTGGACAATTTATATTTGTCTAAAGCAGAGCAGGTCCGAAAGCGCAGCAGGGCATTGAACTGGCACCAGTACCTGGTTTGGAATCGGGTGTGCATTTTTTGCTTTTACTGCAATGACTCACCTGGGTGTTTGCTACAAGTATATAGTTTGATATAGTTTGTATTTGTTCTTAAGTATCTCAATTTTGCAACCACTAGGTCTTTGGAGCACCAGCTACAAGAGATCAGGGCAGATGAAGATGAAATGTTGGCTGGCCAGAGAGGATCTCGAGTCTCTAAATGGATCCAACACTCGAAGGATGTGCGGGAGAAGGTTGGATTGAGCGCTCCAGAGAAGCTCCAGACCCTAGCCTTTGATTAACCTGTTGAATCCTTTTGATACCTTTTGGATCCTTTGGGGTTTTATTTGATTTGAGTGTTTGTGATTCATCTGATTTCAATATGCTTCAACTTTGAACTGTGAAATCAGTTTATGAAGTCTGGGGTCATGAGTTCCTGACGAGAAAAGGTGATTTTGGCTGCAGGGAGTCATTTTATAAATAACAAACCTTTAAAGTTCTTACAACAACATTTTTGAATGTTTTAGATATATTTTTTATGAAATGCATCTTGGGTGTGGTTGGAACATTCTTGGGCTTGTGTTCCTGAGCCAGGCATTTTATAAACACTCCTTCACAGCAGACGTTCAAAGATTTCACAATAAATACTGTTTTACAGAATGTTCTATGGGTGTGGTTCAAGCATTCTTGAGGGTTGTGTTCCTGAGCTGTGCATTTTATAAACTGTGAACAGACAAAAACATACTCAGGATTGGCAAAGTGGTTGTGCTGAATCTTGGTCCCACCATTCTGCCAGCGCCGGCTTTGGTTCATACTGTATGGCCACGCGCAAAGAAGTCCAGGCCTTGTTCACAGGAAGTTGCAGTGTCATGCCTCAAGACATTCCGTGCCACCATCCTGACGGGTGGAGAGGCAGATCAGCAAGAAGGGAATGTGCTGGTGCCATCGAGCAGGACGTGGATGTACGGTTCCGAGCACTTGTTAGCAATCTTGGACGTGAACCAGGATGCGACCAACGTGGATGCAGGAAAAATTGTTTTGACAGATCAATCCATGTCTGCCATTACTCAGATTCAAGCGCTAGATGTTCCTGATCTTCCAGATGGACAGAGGGGCAGTGGCAAACGCAAGAAACGTGCGGGCAAAGGCAAACTCAAGGGCAAGTTGTGGTCTGTGGCATCTGTGCGGAAATCAAAGAAGGCTGTTTCGACAGGAACAGACGGGCTGCCAATGCCCGAGGAGTTCCGACGCAGCATTCCAGGTCGCCGAGTCATCCGCAACACGATCATGAAGGCCGGTGAGATAGAGAGTCTCCGATTCTCAGCAAACCCGTGCTTCGACAAAGTGACCCAGAAATGCCTTCTCAAGGATCGCAAGGACTATGACTGGAAGCGGTTCATTGAAGACGTCCCATTCCTTTTTCAAAGCCGCTTTTTCCAGACCCGGAATGCAGAGAGATTCGGGCGTCTTGTCCATCAGGATATTTCAGCAATCTTCAAGCAGCTCCAGGGTACCAAGCCAGACCGCAAGGCATACATGACGTTGATTGCTGAGTGCCATGATGCAAAATTCGGCAACGGCAAGCTCTTTTCCAAGCTGGTGTAGATTTGAAGCTTCGGGATGCTTCGGGATGTTCACCTTGAGGTGATTGGGGTGAGATGGGGTTAGAAGATTCTACCACAGAATCTGAGGCTACATTTCCAGCAAGAGCTCTGGAGCAATACAGTTGATCAAACTCCGACGCAAGTCATGGAAAAAGGAATCCTTCAGACTTCGGGTAAGTCACTTCATAAAAGCTGGAATTTGAGTTTCCGATGGCATGTGATTAGATCTTGTGTGTTTGGTTATGTCATTTTATAAAAACTCTTGTGTTTGATCTCTCCTCCAGTTTGTTGCCTGCCTTTTTTCTGGCTGCTGGTTCGGCCATTTCATAAAAAGGTCGGTATCTCATTCTATAAAAAAAGCTGGTAGTTACATTTTATAGCACATTTTGTTTATAAGTTGCAGAATTCACACGGCAAGGGCCAAGGTAAGGGGGATGCAATAGTTACATACTGACATTGGACCTGTACAGTCAGTAAACAGTTGTCATCATCTTTGAACATTTTTGAACAAGGCCTGCCACCTAACCATCATCATCCACTGTTACAGGTATTAGGATAGACCCAAGTTACATATACACTTACATTGTGCCAGCGTCGTACAGCGACTCTAACCGGCATGCAATGAGCAAAACATTCACTCTACATTTACGCCATGAAAATGACCTCAATGTAAGTAACTATCCCAGTCCCATGGATAGGATGGTTTTGGTTTTGAGATATTGAGCCTTTTGGAGAGGCAAACAGAATCTGAAGAAACGACCCAGCATACGTCCCAGCACTCCCAACCAGTTGGACCCAGGACAAGAAAGTGAAGAGTTTCCCACATGGAATGGCTCTTCATGGTTCTTCTGTTGTCTTGGTGCTTTTGTTTAGCCCGCTATTAGGTTGGAGGCCATCGCTATTAGGCTGGAGGCCATCTCTTCCTGTCTGATTTGTACCAACTAGCTTTATACTATATACACAGATCAATGTCAGTCAGCTGCATCTCAGATCGGACCTCTTGAGCAACCGCAGAGACCACCGAACGCGCGCAAATTCTCGTCAGCGCCGTTCTACCCCGCAAGGACTTGGTCGGATGATGGACGGTTGATGACCGAATCACATCAAATCTGAAAACCCTTGAAACTCCATACAATTACAATTTACCAACTGATTAACATCAGCCAACAAGACCTCTGGCCTATTCGCCCCTGTGACCTCTCTGCACCAAAAGTTTAAAAGCCGGACTGAACTCCCGACCAGGCCCAAGAAGGAAGGCTTGCAGAAGCGGCGCCCGGTCTTCCGCAGCAACATTGATGCTTTGTGCCCCTAAGACGCATCTTCATACCAATCACGAGTTACCCTCCCTGAAACATCGTGGCGTGGCGTTCACACCCTCTTAGTAGAAGAAAAGAGCCTGGAAAACAACATCTTAGTTCACACCCTCTTAGTTCACAGTCTCTTTATAAAAGCGTCTGGAAGAGACTCAGGGCCATGTTCGACCGCACGACCGGGACCACCGACCACCGATTTCCGTGGTCGACACCGACCGGGACGTGGTGGTGACCCTGGTGGACCCGACTCGGGTGATCACCCCACCAGTTGGTCCTTGGCACATCTTCAGCTGTTGGTCGTTCGCCAGTCGAAAGGTGATCACCCCAAAAAAAAATCAAGATTAATCGATGTCAGACTTCAGTTTTGGTTTCAGCAAGCTTCGTCATCCTCCACTGATTAGATCTGATGAGCTTTTTGGTGACTTATGGTGAAAAAAAAGATGAACAAAAAGAGTTCAAGCACGTCCAAAGCATTCTTTTTGAAGTCTCCAGAGGTGGCCGGACACGACCGAGTCGAGTTGGGCGGTTGAGAGAGAGACCCACCCTCTTCGGGCGAATGACCCGGGTGTGCGGTTGGAAACTGGACATGACGACTGGGGAAGCGTACTCAGCAAGGGTTGCTGGTGCTTGGTGTTGGTGAATGTAGCCCATCGCAGTTTTGCAGACTTGGCACAAAAGAAAGTCTGCAAAAAGATTGCGACACCTACATACCTGCAAAACGGTTGCGCAAGGTCGTCCTGTTGCCAACGGGTTTGTTTGACACAGCGGTCAAACAATTTGCATGGATTGAAAGTGTTCTTCCATGTTCCTCCCAAAGCCACCATCGCCCTCCGGATCCTCTGGACCCTTGGTTTCCTCTTCACGTCATGTTCAAGCCATCCGTGATCTGACAGAAGCCTGAGGCTTGCATTGTGAGGAGGCACATTTGACAGAAGCCTGGTAGCAAGGCTGGGGTGTCAATTGGCTTTCAGTATAATTAATTAGCAGTTTTTGTTTTGGATATGTTTTTTTTTGTTTGGTTTGGTAGTTTACGTTATCGTTCATATCACTTCAACACATGTTCAAGAAGTCAACAAACTGATGTGTTCTAGATGTGAGGGTCACCCTGGCCCAAAAAGGCTTCAGCCGTGAACCGTTATCAGATGCTGGAGGCTTGTCAGGACAAAACAATGTTTCTTTTTCAACTGGCCCTCGCACCGATTGAAGGATTCTGAGAAGGGAGATGCTCCAATATCTGAGATACCCAGTCCAAGGACAAAAGTTGCAGCTGCTTCTGCGAAAGGCTTTTTTTCCACTTTCCCGACCGCCTGAAGTAAAGGACATTCCTTTTCGGGCCACCTAAAGACATAGTCGTTGACCCCCATGGCTTTTGTTGGACCAAACATCATGACCCTTGGTGACAACATCAGGCCTGGTTGGGCCCCTCCCCCTGCTTGGGCTTCAGAGTCGCCGGACTCAACCCTGAATGTACTGGGACAGCAAGTACCTTGGAGAATGGTACAAGACGTACAAGTATACGTCTAGGTAATTGATATTTATTTGTGTACCTCGACCTGCCGACTCCTTCATCATTACATGGGACCTGACCCGAACCCCCACCGCTTGGCCTTTGGGTGTTCGCAGTGGCCTTTGTTTGAAGTGGAATGAGTTGGGTATGATGATCCCCGTTGAAATGGGGTGATAACGAGGATGTACAATGAAACTGGGAATATCCCTGCTCTCGGCAAACGAAACCGCAGTTCAAGGAGAACACTGCCCCGAATGAAGCTGAGTTAGGATATATGGAATCTATATTCAACAAACGTTTGTCAACATTCTAAAGTTTCCTTCGTACCCAGTCAGTGGATATCCTGGAACCATTTTTGGGAAATGGTTTCCCCAACTCAACAACAGGTGGAACAAGTTCGACCTCTCAGACTCGGGACTCCGCCTTCCGCAGTTCGACCTCACTAGACCCTTTTTCCAGGGAATTCGCAGCTGCAGAGTCGACGGGAAACCGAAAACAACCGAACAAGACTCCATGGGCCACGGCGGCCACGCCCCGAATTTCGCTCCTTCAGGAAGGGACCTTTGTGAATTTGTTCGAGCTGCCAGACCCGGATCCCGACAGCCTACGCCATATGCTCGAGCGACATGGGCGACATTGCGAGAGGGCGCGGTTGTGGCCCTGGGCTTTTGGCATGTGGATCTTAGATTAGTAGGCCGTTCTGTTCGAGTGCGCCTGTTCGTTCTTGGCCCAAACGCTCCTGTTCTTTCTTACCGACTGGGTCCCTCCGGAAGATTCAGGGCCAAACGCTCGGGTCGCGTTTGAGGTTCCATGGATCCACGAAGGACCGGACCAGGGGTCGAGAAGTCAGCCCTTCCCGTCAGCTCCGTCCCTACCTCTGGAGGTTGGTGGACCAGGGGTTGAGAAGTGGGTCGGTCTTTCTCTACCTTCGGATGTGGTCTCCTGGAGCCCTGGGGGGGTATCATGGGGATGGTGACATTGGATGAAGCAGCTACATTTCACCATGGTCCACTGTAAAAGTAGACTGGAGACGGCAAGAAGGCAGCTAACTAGCTATAGATAGTCAGCTACGATAGATACGGTAGATATGGATAGATGATGATAGATGATGATAGATGATGATAGATGATAGAATTCAATAGGATGGTAGATGGATAGGATAGTGGATAGGATAGGGTAGGATAGATATTGTTTAAAAATTGTTTATATATGTTTTTTTGAGTAGACTATAAATAGAATGGATCGTCGATGACATATCAATAAATTGTTTGAACCTGTATTGGAAACCATGGCATGGTCTTCATTTCAGTCCCATGGCAAATCAGTGGACGTCCTATTGAAAATTATGTTGACTTTCTCAAGTGTGCTGATCAAACACTGCCTGCACGCGACGTGTGACCAGAATAGTGTGACTCTGACCCGTTCATCGAGAAAATGGCCAGGTTGAAAGACCACTTTGGCCGGTGCTCCTCATGTTCTTGCGCCGCTTGGTGACGGCAATCGTGAGGATTCATGCGATCGTGACGACAGTGGAAGTCGAAGGCCTATATATTGACGTCCTTGGTGACGTCCCCGATGAGTTTGACATTACATGTTGCTGGCTTAGATTAATCCATATTAACCCTCAATCTACTAGTAGCACTTGTGAGGGTCACAACCTTAGGACGGAACGGTGTGTGTGGCATGTAAAGATCCATCATGTTCCATCACGGATATCGGTGTCGCGTCCTGAATACATGCAATGGAAGTGTCTTTCATGTCGGGGTGCTATCCATGGAGGGTGCCGTCGGGGTGCCCGAGCGTCACATCCACTCACTTCGGGACGAGACCTGGATATGTTTCTTCAAACCAATGCAAACGTCCTAGATGATGATGTCGAAGAGACGTACGCTTCTGTACAGCCCTGAATTCAATGATCATCTTAACCATCTACGGATCAGATCAGACAGAATCAGATGACAGCCAGGATCTGACCGATGGGTTTCCTGCTGAAACCGGACGAATTGCTGCGGAACATCTCCGGTGTCCACCGGTGTTCCACCGGTCCGTCAGACGTTCGGAACGGGTGCGACGGATGGAACTGGAGGCCGTCTACCCTGGAGGCTCGTCTTACAAGGCCTCAAAAAACGTCTCTGTGTTTCATGACATTGGTAGCGGCACATGGTAGCAACGCATGTGTCTGGTGTCCCATGATTGCGGGTGAGTCAACCTGTGGGGTTTCTTGAATGGTTCCATGGTTCATTTGCATGTGTCGCAACACTGAAGACTGGAGGTGACATTGCTAATCCACACGTCTCACTTCCTAAGGAGTTCAATGGACAGTTGTTTTTGCTTATTACTCAACCTGTCTATATTTTATACAGTACACAGAGAAGGTAGGCAGGGACTCCAATCGCGGTCTGACTGTGGATAATATTGGATAATTGGGATTTGTTCGCAGCTTCCAGCGAAAGCCACGCGTGCACCCGCCACGCCGCCCCGCACCCGTCGGGCGGCCGACCATTCCCTAAAGGTCTTTGGACCTCGTTTTGCTTGGAGTTGATCATGCAAAACAGGATCCGGTCTGTGTTAACAACGACACCGAACCAGTGTGTTAACTCCGGTGTGTGTTAACAAAGAACTCGCTTAATGAGGTGTTCAGGACCCAGTTTCACTGGTTCAGACTGGACCTGTAGCCTGTAGGGATTCGTTGGTTGATTCATAGAGGTACCCTCAAGTGTACAACCATGTACAACCACCAGGTGTGTATGATATACTTCAAGAACCCTAAAGTTTACGCTTCTTACTCTGTTCCAACATGACACTTGCGGTCTACAGCGGATCGGATTAACACGTCCATTTTGCGTGGCAGGTACAGCACGGTCAGATTTCCACACCCGTTTAAATTTATAATATTTATAAGGCTTTCAGGTGTGGAAATCTGACCGCAACTGAGGTGTCGACATGTTGCACGTAGGATTCTAAGGGGAAAGGGTTTGTGATGTTTTAGAAGTCAAGAAGCGCAACTTTTGGCACCCCAGTG